TCGCAGAGAGAAGTCGATTCTTCGAGGAGACATCGTCTTCGTTTGTGACCCAGCTGGGACGCGTCGAGACTGACGGAAAGGCGTCATGGAGGAAGCCTTTGCTGGAGTGAATGGAGAAATCAGGCGAGCCAGCGACCGAATCATGGATGGGGAGATCGGTCTCGCTGGATAATGCGCTTGCTTCAAAGTTGGCGGTTTTGGATATGTTTGGGGATGTTATTCACGGAGGTGGAAATGTCGCGGGTCGAATGCAATACCGATAGTATAGCTTAGTATTTTCTTATCTTTTGGTATTGTGCCCCTATGGAATAATCGGACAAATTAATACTAAGTCTGTGAGTTGTCGTCAAGAGTCATGGAGTGTGGGAGGTTAAACTGCTGAAAGGCATTTCCTAGACTTAGTTTGAACTATTATTGAATTTCTAACCCCCACAGAATAAATTATACGTATATATATGTTATTTGCTAAATATACAACTCGGCAGTGTGGTCAATGGCGCCTATGCGTGCAGTGTAGGCAAATCTCGCACGAGCAACGACACACCTGTATTAATCCAAAACCAAAAACACCTGCGCAGCAAGGCGACAGAGTCCTGTCAATGTTATACGAATATTTTGATCGAAAACTTTTAAGTAAGTTTTCAAAGTTATTCCAATGGTAGCTGAAATAGACTTTAAAAACAATCTCCTTGACTTTGGATTAAATATTTTCTGTGTGATTGAAGTGAGACGACGCACCAAGTGACACGAACATGTTCATAGAGTTCCCTTTAACTATTCCTCTGGAACCTTTTGTTGCCCTGCTAAAGTACCTCTATAAGTGACATTTTACACTCTGAAAAAGGTATCGTAGATGTTTTCAAGAATGCATTTATTCGAATATGATGGATGGGTTTTATGACATGCATGGTCATGTATAGAACACATACTTCCTGATAGGAAAAGTACAGACAATTGTACTGTACCCTCAATGCAAAATCATTTATGGGTTGAGTGAAGGCTGTATTCTAAGTTATCTTTACTTAAATAAAATTTATCATACAAAATAACTTTGCGCCCACCTGAACATTTTACTAAATAACCAATTCGATTCCACAACTTTTCCATCTTTATATATTTTTGTATAAATTTACGTTTGTGTTATTTTTTTTTTTACAGGACGCAAAAATTTTTTGCGAATGGCCGCAGCAGTCCCCAGAGCAAAATCTTACTCTCTTACGATTTTCGTTCGTTCATCTTACGCTCATATTCTCATTGAACGCTTTCTGTTTCTCAGTCTTTGAAAGGAGCGCGATGAAGAAGTTTGGTCTGCGCTTGGATTAATCTTTGTATGTTTGCCCCAAAATTCAAAATTTTCAAATTACATTTTTCAAATCGAAATTTTGTGCTGTCTTCGAAACGCACGCACACATGCACCCGTGTATTGACACGCATGCTATTTTTCGTAAAATAATACGTCGTACCAAATTTCATAAGGAAAAAATTTTACTTCCTTAGCGAAAAGATTACTTTTAAGATTACTTTTAATATTTCATTCTGTTTTCAAGACATTTTTGGAATTTATTGAAGGCAATAGACATGGGTAATCATCGTTTCTTTTAAGGAATAAGTTCGTTCGTTCTTTTTTTAGTACTGAACTAGGTCGTTTGTTTTGTTCTTCTCGTAAGTTCAAACAATATTAAAAATTTAATTTTAAAAATTATAAATTTTAAAAATAAAAATAAAAATTTTAAAATTTTTCACACTTTTGAAGTGTTTCCATATTTTACTGTGTTTTCTTTTTAGAGATATTTCGCTGTTGTCCACTCAAAATGTTGTTAACACAAAATTAATAGATCAAAGATCAAAGGACAAAGACCAAAGAACAAGAACAAAAACCAAAGAACAAGGAACAAAGGCCAAAAAGCAAAGAACAAGGAACAATGACCGATGAACGATGTGAACTAGTTCAGATCGGTCTTTCTTGTTCGTTCGTTCGGCAACTCTAGCAACAGCCCAACTCTAGAAGGCAACGCATTGAGGCAGACATCTATAAAGTATATATATTCTTGATCAGGATCACCTTCAGAGTTGATATTGTTTAAGCATGTCTGTCTGTCCGTCTCTTTTAAAACTATCGAGACTTTAAAGTTTAAACACACCCTTCTTTCCTTCACACACAGTATATATATCGGAATCGGCCGACTATAGCTTAAGTAAAATTTCGTAAAAATATCAGCTTTGATATTTTTGAAAATATGTTAAAAGCTTGGGACTTTTTTTTTAAATTTTTTATTGTAATAAATGCGAGGTTATATCAACTTCGGCTACGCCCGAAGCTAGCTTATAGATATTTTTCATAGATATGTATAGTTCATAGATAATTTTTTTGGTTCACTGACAGAAAAAGAAGAAGATTTAAGCCCCAGCTAAGTAATATGAAAGATAACATAATAGACAATAAAGAATTTGATGAATTCGTTGGTAAGCTACAATGTTTTTCTGACAATCTTAACATTAAAATTTAAGTAACAGATACTAAGACTGCATTCTGGGTACGAAGATCTCAAGTCGGTCGCTGGGTGGGTAAGTCATTGCGGTGAAGATTGTTTGGTTGCTCAACCTTTTAAACCTCTTGCCGGGTGGTTAGGGTGCAAGAGTAGCTTGGTCAAGTACTTTTCCTTCTCTTCTGCGATCACCATATTTGGGAGCCGAACATCTATTTAGGTTTCAGTAGCGAGTTCAAGTTTATATTCAATGTGGCGGCGCCATATGAGTCTTCTGTCGAGGTGTACTCTTAGATATCGATGATTGAAAAACATCGAAAACATTCCGTGCTTTTCACGAAACCCAAATTGATGTGACGGGATTCCTTAATGGATTCTTAGATATGTGTTTATCCGAGTCAATACGAGTCAATTTTTCAACGAGTTTAGATATTTATGAAAGTAGGCTTATCTGGATGATTTGTTCCGTAGAATAAATATCCTCGTAGTTGAAAATTGATTCTAAAGTGTATTTCTGAAAGCAGCGTTACGTTGATTTAAACTTACTCAAGTTTATCCTGTGAAACGCCGTTAGCGTTCTACGTAAATATGCTTAGCGCAGTCAATATTTCGATTATTGTGAAATCAGCAATTGAACTTTTTATTTTGTGGGCGGGCAATAATTCCTTTCTGGTGGGTGTGACTTTTTAGCTCCCTATAAACTGAGCAACCTCTATAGTTAGTTGCTCTACAGTAGCCGCACTTTTTCGAGATGCAGTTATGTTTGCTTAATGGGCAGTGTGATGAGTCATGAAGCTCTCCACAAACTACACACACCAGGCGCAGTTTACAGTATGTCCTTGTATGGCCATATTCTTGGCAGTTTGCACATTTTACCGGTCCTGAGTACGACTTGCAGGCCCTTGCTGTTTTTTTCTAACGATAAGATATTTCAATAATACTCTGTAGTTATCTTCAAACTTCCTCTGCAAAATTTGTTTCCTGAATGTTGCCCTTTACAAGGGGTATTATGCGGAAGCTATCCTTGCCAATAAGCTGAATAATTTTGTTGTCAAGAACATTGGAACTTAACGACTGATGTCGTTAAACGTGCTGCCGATAAAGTTTCGTTGGTTTTGTTGTTACGGTTGACGTTGTTTAAGAAATTGCGGAGCTAGTAACTCCGCTCTTTGGCTACAGAGATGGTAGCAAGATCGATAGAAGGGGGAGCAAGAGCGTACTCTCTTGCTCTCTCGTTCAATTTGGGGGTAATTGACCTCGCTTGATCGGTTTCGGTTGCGTTAAAAGTGAAGTAGGCGTTGTTTTTTTGTACTGAGAGCCGTCTCACGTCTTGCTCGCGTTGACGTTGTATGCGTACGTCATTAACATTCATTGTACTTGGGATTCATTTAAATAGAATTTTAAGTGTTAGGTTTTAAATTAATTAATTAACTAATCAATATAAACAAACGCGATTTTATCGCAGAAAGCGTCTTTTCCATTCCTGGAGCACAATAGATACACGTTTGCATGCGAAGACGGTTCAAGAATAATGAATAATATCAATATTAGTTATTATATTGAAAATTGTGCAAATCCTTTGGCAAATGTAATGGACCATAAATATATAGTAACTGATTAATGATTAATGAACTGATTAATTTCAAGGCTTTGAACTAAAAACTTAGCAATTTGTCAACACATTTTTATATCAGAAAAAGAATTTTTGAAGTACATTGAACCAAATATTGTCAAATGAATCCAAATTGGAAATAATTTAATAAATCTATTGAAGGAAATAATATTATTCAATTAAGCCAATGTACACTTGATTTAAGAAGTTAAAGTTTAGTACTTTAAAAACCATATATGAATATTACATTTTTTTCAAGTACTTTACAAGAACTAACACCAATTAAAAAACCTAATAATAATATTTACAATTATAGTTACAAGCATAATCATTACAAGCATACGATCATACGATTCCTAGTTCCAAATCTGATAGTTCGAACTCTTATATCAACCCTGTTGTTGGATTTCTCTTTCATATGCAAAATCGAAAGTCCTATACATGTATGACTGTCAGTATAGCCAAAAAGCAATTACAATAAATATTTGTATTCGTATTTATTGGAATGCCGAAAACTTTTCACTGCAAGAAGTTCATTCTTCTTTTTGTCTCTGCCATAATGATCGACTTGAAGCGATGAGTTTTAAGTAAGAAGCTATGCATTATTTGAGATAGTATAATCGACAAAAAAAAAATTTCATAAAATCCGTTTTTTTTTCAGTTACTCAGATGTTCCCCCTTAAAGTGTTGGTGGATTACATCCGTACCGGGTGTAATATAGTCGTAAAAATCGACCATAGGTAGGATGGCTTCTTGCTTTTGAAATTTAACTGGGGAAAATTATGGTAACTTCACTAAAATTAATAGCATACTTGAGTTTTAAAAGTGGTTTTTGGCAGGGACATACTTTTTTAAAAATAAGTTTTTTTTGCAATGAATGCGACTTTATTTAAAAAGGATACGTAAATTACGTCGCTGCAATATCGAACATGGAGATTTTCGTTTATTCCACGTTCATCTATTTCAGACATTTCCGTCATATCTGATATACCAATTCTAAGGTCGGTCTCCATTATATCTGAAAAGAAAATGAAAGAAAATTACAAAATTGATGTAAAGTGAAATACAAATCAAACAAATAAAATAAAACTATGTATTAACTTTCTATTCAAATGTATTTTTATAATGGATCTATAAAAAAAAGTAAATTACAAAGTTATTTTATTTTATTTAGGAGACTAACAAGAAGTGTATAAGAATTAAATCTTATATTTTTAGGTAATATTGACTGACACAGAGAGGCGCCATTAACAATTTTTTGCTTGGTCGAGATTTGCGTCGCAGGCAGGATCAGCTGAAAACAAGAATTAATCGAAGATAGTTTGGATCGTAAAGGACACTTTTTGCTTCTGGATTAAGGGATTAAAACCATGGCACTCGAATATGCCTACAAGAGGCATATAGTGCATGGAAACGGATGGTACGCCTGCCAGCGAACCAGACTAGAAGCTATAGCTATGTACAAAGCGACCAGCCTGGTACCTTTCAAGTATGTGCTTGCCGGCAGCATACTCCCTCTGAATAAGAGGCGAAGTCTACCTATCACCTCTACAGATTTATGGGTCACAGCACAGGAGTTGAATATCGCAACTCCACCAAGTGCCTCGTCAGGCACAGCTCTTTTGTCCCGAAAACGGCACCGTTATTCATGCACCTCTCATTCGTCATTTGAGTCATAGTCGTTTTGGAGGCGGGAGTAGGCGTAGCAAATTTTGACACAAACTTGATCTCCGCGGATACCATACCAAGTTCCAAGATCCACGCGTTAAAAATTTTAGTCCGTTTGTATAGGAAATTGGTATATATAGAGGTATATCTCCTCTAAAAATCGAGCTGATTTGGATGAAATTTGTTTTTCAGATATATATTAACTATAGAAATAGTTTGGCATCAAAAGTTTTTCAAAAAACGTTCCTGTACGGGCGTTAATAATAAATAAACTTGAACTGCGTGGGTATTGTAGGAGTCTCCATGCCACATCCTACAGCTCTATCTCTTATAGTCTCTTAGATTCACGCGTTCATATGAACAGACGGTCGGACGGACATGGCTATATCGACTCAGCTGTTGATACCAGGTATAAAGACACTAATTAAGTGGCAAGTAAAACTTTTGAATTAACGAACAATGAAATAAAAAAACAAAGTTGTTTCGCTCAGAGCTAGGCAGCTCTAACTTTTTTTAGCTGCTCACGCACACACTCAAAAGTTCAACATTTTTGCGATTTGCCCACCACTGATTTAGAGGGAAGTAAAAAGCTATTCATGAGAGGTACGCGAGAGTGGAACATTGAGTTGAAAGGAGAGGAATCAAAGGGGTATGAGTGTGACAACTCTATTGGGAAACATTTTGGAGAAAACAATGTATTTTTAGCTTTGGCAAAGCAAGAAGTTTCCATCATTTAAAGGATAACATTTCCCTTATAACACTTGGTTAAGGAGACCCGCCCCATTCTCGGTTTTAAAAAATCGATTTTTTTTTTTTAAATTTAATTCAAACTTGTAACTATTCAAGAATGTTCCCTGAAAATTTCAAGTAAAAATTTCAAAAACTTTTGAAGATATAGCCGATTTATGGTGGAAGCCTCAGGCGACGGCGAGAGCCGTCTCAAAACTTTAAACGCGTTTTTCTCGAAACAGTGTTTTTACGACTGGCGCATGAGGTTACTCAAAAACTATTAATCCAATCGGTTCCAAATTTTAACACGTTATTCTATACATATGTAGCTCTCGTATGAACTAGGATAAATCAAATCGGTGAAGATCTTCTTTACTTTTCAACTCGATTTGTGGCTGAAAAAAATGGAAATTTAAAAAAAAAAAAAAGGGGGGGGGTATCCTGAAAGCGCTATTCAGGATTTTTTAGTCCAGAAAAATTGGGGGTAAATTTTAGTTTTTTGTTAAAAAAAAATAGAAACAATCTTCGGCGATATGGGACCCTCTTTAAGATGTGTCGTAGGTGTGCTGGAAGGTCTACGCGCACGCTATATAAGTAATAAAAATTTAAAAAATGGGAGCAGAAGAAAATTTTGTTGTTATACCCTTGCAGAGAGTATTATAATTTTGGTCAAAAGTGTGCAACGCAGTGAAGGAGACATCTCCGACCCTATAAATTATATATATTCTAGATCAGGATCACCTCCTGAGTTGATATGAGCATGTCCGTCTGTCTGTCCGTTTCTACGCGAACTAGTCTCTCAGTTTCGAAGCTATCGTCTTGAAACTTTGCACACACCCTTCTTTCCTTTGCACGCAGTATATAAGTCGGAACGACCGGAATCGGCCGACTATATCCTATAGCTGCCATATAACTGATTGATCGGAAATGGTATAACTTTGGTGTTTTTAGAGTTAGAGAGTTCAAATTTTACACGAGCGCTATTTTTGGCAAACTAATACGACATGCCATCGTAAGGATCGGCCGACTATATCCTATAGCTGCCATATAACTGAAAGATCGGAAATGACACAACTTTCGTGTTTTTGAAGATAGAAAGCTGGAACTTGCTACAGATTATATTCTTGGTTCTGAATATATTCTTGGTTATATTCAGTTAATCCGACCTACCAAATTTCATACCGATCGGCCGACTATATCTTATAGCTGCCATATAACTGAACGATCGGAAATGGTACTTGGTAGAAATATCAACTTACGTATTTTTGAAGATAGAAGTTTGGGACTTTTTTTAGATTTTTTATTTTAGTTAATTAGTTTTATGATGATGTAACTATAAGGATCGGCCAACTATATTCGATGTTTGCGATATATATCTGGTTTTAACTGCAAGGGTATATAAACTTCGGCTCCGCCCGAAGTTAGCTTTCCTTTCTTGTTTTTTTTATATTTTTATATCGGTTTTATTTCTTCAAGTCCCGTTTCATTTCTATTTTTTTCCGTTGGTATATGTCGTCGAAGACTAGCGCAGATTCTCATCTTCAACTTATTTAATCAAAATAATTTTTCCGAGTTTATTTTTTTGTTACTTAATATTTACTCAAACAAGAACTTCCTACACACTAGGAAGTGTAGGACGTCCGAGATTCTCAGAGAAAACTCTACTCCTTAGTGGCAGAGCAAAGTACCAAGATTCCACGTTAGAAAACACATGGACTGAAAACTTAAGACTATGGATAGCGCACAGAAAAAGAGCTATTATAAGTCTCTTCTAAGGCTGTAGGGTTGATATGGGGACTGTCTTCAAAGCTGCTTCACTTCAAAGTTCTCTTCAATTCGTTGCATCACTTGCCGTATCCGAACGTGATCGCTCTCGCCAGATTGCATATATCTTTGATCTTAGAATTAATGTTTAAGCCAAAGACGCTTAGAATCCTAGCCCTGAAGAAACTGCTCCAAAAAACTGAAAAACAAAAATTGTTCCTGTTGCTATCAAAACGTTCGAAGTATTGTGGGTAAATTGAGCCAATTTTTTACAAAGAGTGCTTCTTTAGATTTTGATATTTCTTTAGATGCTATCGCGCTTACTGGCTTAATCCTCTTTCTCTGATTATGACATTGTTCAGTATATCAACTCCGGTTCACGATATGGAACGCTTCTCGAACGAACAATGCTGGGAAATGGTAAAATTTTACTTCCAAAGTAACGAATCAGATTTGGACGAAAAATCATCTTCTCGGACGAGGCGCATTTCCATCTTGGCAGCTATGTTAATAGGCAAAACTGCCGTATCTGGGGAACGGAAAACTTTCATGTGATCGTGAAAAAACCAATCCATCCCGAACGATTGACTGTTTGGTGCGGATTATGGGCTGGTGGTAACATTGGGCCGTTTTTCTTCAAAGACAGTGCGGGAAGAGCCGTTACGTGATAACTGATTTTTGTGGCCTATTATCGACCAAATGAACGTGGAAGACATTTGGTTTTAACAGGATGGCGCCCCGTGCCACACATGCAATGCCACAATCAATCTTCTGCGCGAGAAGTTCGGCGAACGCGTTATTAGGCGGCGCGTCGAGGTCGCTTGGCCGCCTCGTAGCTGCGATTTGACGCCATTGGGCAACAAACAAATGAGGACCTGAAAGCCGAAATCGGCGAGTTATTGGCCAGATACACCCCCACACGCTCCAGAATGTCGTCATTGGTCTGATCGCATCGGCTACTGCCACGCCAGCCGCGGCAGCCACATGAATGATGTTGTGTTCCTTCATTAAACCGGAAGAATTAAGCTTTACAATAAAATAATCAGAATCAAAAAATATTGACGCGTTTTCATTTTATAGCCATTTCAAAAGGTGATTTTTAATTGGCCCACCCTGTATAAACATTTATTTCTCAAAATTTCGATTTCAGGATGTGTTTAAAGGTCTCTCAACAACAGATATCTCATTCTCTGCTGGTTCTGTTAATGTACCTAGCTGTGTTCTAAGGCACTGTTATGATATCCTTTGTTATTCTCTTACTATCTTATTCAATTTATCCTTGGATCTTGCATGTCTTCCCAAGAGATAGAATGAGTAATTTATTATCCCTCTCCATAAGAAAGGCCCAAAAGCACTTATTGAGAACTATCGCGGAATTGCTAAGCTATCTGCGATTCCCAAACTGCTGGAGATACTGGTTATTTCCCAACTGAAACATATTTGAAAAGGCACCATATACACTTTACAGCATGGTTTTGTCAACCATCGCTCTACTACAACTAACGTTCTTGAATTCACTTCGATCATCCGCAGGGTTTTTCTGAGCCACATGCAAGCTGATGTGGTATACACTGATTTTAGCAAAGCATATGATTTTGTAAACCAACATCTCCTCCTTTACACAGTGGTACAGTGGATGACTTCTATTCATCAAATCGCACCCAGTGTGTTTTGTGGAAACACATAACATCACAGTTTATAATCACAGATCACTTCTCTCTCTTCCTCTTAAGCGAACGGTCGTGTTTTTTTTGTGCGCACTGCGTTTATGATAAATATTGGTAGACCGGTGTTTACTTGCTTGTGAATCGAATCTATTGAGAATCTTAAGTTTTAACCTAAACCGTATCGCTTCGC